GGCCTCGGTCGAGGTGGAGAAGGAATAGTGCATCCGAGGCCTTGCCGGGGGGTCTCGGACGAGGCGGAGGATGAACAGTTAGTCTTTCATGCTGATTCTGAGACTACAGGGACTCGGACTTGACCCTCCATGCCACTTTGTCCTTGGCACAGGAGTTAGGTAGCACAGGGTAGTACGGGTGTCAGCAGGGGGCACAGTGATGAGCATAGTGGCAGGTAACCCCTGCTGCGCCCGGTCCCTTGTCCCATCGGTCATTCTGCCTGTACTACGCCAACGTGCGGCTGACGTTGCGGGAGTAGTGGGGCGCATTAACTGGATGTGACATTTTATCAGAGGAGCCGGTCGGGACGGAGGTGACGAGGTTGTTGCCGAGCCCAGCCTCAAGCGAATCGAAGAATTGGTATCCCGTCCGAGGCCTTGCGGGGTAGGGTCTCGGCGAGAGGGCCTCGACGAGAGGGCCTTGGCGGGGCGAAGGGCTTTGGCCTTTCGTCTGAGGCCTCGGCGCAAGCCTTGGGCGAGTCGGAGAATCTGCCGAGACCTCGTGGTTCTCCTTTGGCTTTGATTTTTGCAAGGCTTAAGCAATATTTTCGGTTCTTGCTTAGGGTACCCCTTCTTGTGGTATCCGACAAGTAGATAGCCTTACTTGCTCCCGATTGCCCACACCGTTGTGACGCCGTTGCTCTACTTTGTGGGGGAGCACGTGCCCCACCTATCGTTAGCATGTTCGTTTGGCTGTGGCTTGTTGTAAACGATCGTAAATTTCCAGCCGAAACAGTATTTTTCTCTCACACAAACCAGCCAGCAGTACTTCTTCACGAACCAGCAACGAAATGAACCAGCCAACCGAACAGGCTGCGTGTCCTAGGTAGCAAGCGTCGCTTGGCCTCGCATGCTCTATCACGTCCTGACGAGCGAGCGTCGCACCGTCGCACCACCTATACGTATCCCATGAGCAAGCACCACTTGCCCCCTTCCTGTCCAAGTTAACGAGCGTCACTCGACCGCACCACCGCCCGCGGGCCTACGAGCGCACGATCGCCTATCGCGTTCCTGGTAACGAGCACCACCCGGTGAGCGAGTGTTGTGTGGCCCCCGCCTGTCGTGTCTCGGTGAGTGAGTGCCGCTCGACCACACACGCCCCGCCGCATCCCGACGAACGAGCATCAAGGGAAATTTGCTGAAGAAAGGGTGGGCAGAGGACGGAGAGACAATCACGGGATTAGTCAGATTTTGATGTAGGCCCCATAAAGAAACGATATGTTAGAGACATAGTTGTTAACTAGGTAGCGTGTCCATGCGTTGCTACGGGACAACTAAATCTTTTGTACTAAAAATACACGGATCGCACGATAAAATAACAATACTGTTAAATTAAATACCGACGTCAAAGTGACATTTAATTCAAAAAGCAAAGTTCGTGAAATTAACACAGTCACAGAGAACGCGACGTCGTAGGCTCACAAACTCTTCTGTATAGACTTTTTTGTGATACGGCTAAGATAATATTTTATATCGGCAGAAAGAATTCTACGATATCCATTTCTTTCATGCGCCAATAAATCAATGAATAAGTTCCACTGCATCTCCATATAATCATGTACACATAGGTTCGAGTATATATGTAAATAGGTTCGTGCCCGTATGTTGCTACGGGACAGCTAAACTTTTGTACTAAAAACACACGGATCGCACGATAAGATAACAATACTGTAAAAGTATATGACCGACGTTAAAGTGACATTTAATCCAAAAAGCTAAGTTCGTGAAATTTACACAGTCATAGAGAGCATGGCGTCGCAGACTCACAAATTCTACTGTGTAGATCTTTCTGTGATGCGACTAAGATCATTTTTTATACCGGCAGGAAGAGATTTCTGATATTCATTTCTTTTGTGCGTCAACAAATCCACGAATAAGTTTCACCACATCTCCATACCATCCTGTACACAGCGCTGGCAAGCGAATTAGCCACAACTTATGTAATTAGTTTTATAATTAGCCCATATTTAGTCCTCCTAATTGATATCTAAAAATTCAATGTGTCAGGGACTAAAGTTTAGTCCTGGAATCCAAACACCCCTTAACTCTCGACTCCTGCTGGCTGCTCACTTGCACCACCATGCCTATGTGTCTGCACGTATATACTCTAATGTCAGAACGTCTAAGATGGTCTTTAAGATTGCCATTTGTGTATGCTATAGGATTGTGATGCTTTGCACTGATCCATGAGGGTGTCCATGAGAGTCGAAATTTTTTATGCCATTATGATGTCTAAGCTTACCAATCAGACAGAGACAAACTTGATTGTTAAAATATTTTCAACACTGCTTTCATATACTCCCTCTGTCCCAAAATAGAATTCATTCTCGTTTTTCGAGAAGTCAACTTTTTTTAACTTCGACCAATTATAATATAGATATTTTTTACATGCATGTGGCCTCAGGAGTCGACCAATTGATTGTTAAATGTTGCACGTATTTTTTACAAACCTAGTCAAAGTTGAGAAAGTTTGACCTGCACATATCTCATAACGACTTATATTTTGGGGCAGAGAAAGTATATGCTAATGGGAGTAGTCAATTGGAAGTCATGATGAACACAACAATACTTTCATATTATATGCTAATTGGAGCATGAAAAAACGCAGGGAAATGGACCTATATACGAATGGTGGGAATATTCGTTTAGGAAATTGCAGAAGGTTCACCAGTCTCACCATGTATAACCTGCACATTTTTTATTTGGCACCACTGATGTTCTCAAGGAGCAGCCACTTTTTAATTTCAGGTCTGCATGCTGGAAACACTAAAATTAAGGGCCAACCTCATTGAGTCGTCTTGCTTGATCTTTGCCAATTGTTTCTTTCCATGCATAATTATTGTTTCCTTTCATGCATATGGCATCAGGTGATCAATTTGTTTCCTTCAAAGCAGGTGGGGATCGTAGGGATGATAGTTTCTTTTTCTATCGCGCGGGGTATCGCATGGCCGGAAGGGGGGAGTCTTGCTTGATCTTTGCCAATTGTTTTCTTCCATGCATGATAATTGTTTTCTTCCATGCATGTGGCTTCAGGTGATCGATTTGTTTCCTTCAAAGCAGGCGGGGATCACAGGGATGGCAGTTTCTTTTTCTATCACGCGGGGTATCGCATGGCCGGAAGGGAGGAGCGATCCAAAAAAAAGTCACACAAAAAAATAGTCTTACTTTTAGTCTTTTTAGTTGTAGGAGAATAGTGACATGGCAGGTATAGAAACTGCTAAGGCCCTGTTTGATCATTGGAATTAAAAATTTATTTTAATAATAATTATAATTTAGGCACATATTGATAAGCACGAACTCTTTCATCTTCGGCGGCGGTAGGTGAGTTCTCACTTTTCTTTGTTTTTTCTCTATCATTTTCTGTGTGCATCCCCAAAAAATCATGTGCACGCTATTATAAGCATTTAGGTTCTTTTTTAGGCCATTATCAATGTAGAGTTTTTATAGCGTTGTTTCCAAAAATATCACGTTAGACAAAATGCAATGAAACATGGATGAATAAACTACACTCAATACACTGTTTCATTGATAGCTAACCCATGACTCATCTAAAGTTGAAAATCGGGTCAAGAGAATTTCATCTATATATATAAAACTCAACTTTTCTCTTCATAGAAATGTTGTGCCATTAGAAAAGCTTACGTAACAGCTAATTAAACGCGAATAAAACTCAGAATAAAACTGATCTTATAGGAAAATCTATCCTCAAGAGTTAAGATCCTGGTTTTCATTTCCCACCGGTCGTCGCCGGCACCCTGCTGCGGGCTGGAACGAGCCGCGGTAAAGCTATACTTACTCCGTCCCAAAATATTTGTCTTTTTCGCTTTTTGAGAAATAACTTTGACAAAATACATATTAAAAAAATAATATTTATGGTATATAATTGGTATCATTGAAAAGATTCTTGAATCTAGTTTTTTAATAAATTTATTTGGAGATATAAATGTTACACGTATTTTCTACAAATCGAGTCAACCTCGTGGCATGAAAACCTTATCGTTTTCGCTTCTCGAGAAACAACTTTGACAAAATACATATTAAAAAATAATAATATTTATGGTATATAATTGGTACCATTGGAAAAATCTTTAAATCTAATTTTTTAATAAATTTATTTAAAGATATAAATGCTGCACGATTCTTCTGCTAATCGAGTGGCGTGGAAACCTAAAGCGACACGACAAATGAACCTGTGGCACGATTTTGTTCATGTCGCCATCAATCCATCATCATTGTCTTATGCCTGACGGAGAGAACCCACACCGTGCGCTGGCGACACATTGACACGCTCGTTGGCGTCAGCCGCCGGCCGCTGGTATGTTGGGGTTGGCATCTTTGCTAGCTGACTTGACCTGCGCCCTTGGCGCAACCTGCAACTGCAAGGCCAGCTGCCCAGCAAGAGGCACCGCCGTGCATCGAAGAACGCAAGCGCATCACGACCAAATATCCCTGAACGGTGAGCGCGCGCGTTTTCTGTAGTATCAATAAGGTAATTTATTTTTTAAAAAAAATTATATTAAATCTTTCATACGAACTAGCATGTTTGTTGTTTATATTAATATATACATATACATGATGCGCATCTCTCGATTTGTTTCCTATCTTTTATATACGAGTTCTCTAACTTAAATAGAGCCACCTTAATAAACTTGCTATTGGTTTGTTATTTTAGTTACTAAAAATAATATATTAAAACACACTACCGCATCCTCGTGTCATTTTTTTTTTCGAGAATAGCGTATCCTCGCATCCGATATGTATCGTATCCAATACTCGTATCGCATAAATAAATAGATACATTTTCCAGCAGTTGTTTTACATACATGGCATAAATAAATAGATACATTTACATGGATGTTGAATAGAAAGAATCAGAAAGCAACGAACAGAGCAAGATCGGTGTTGCGCAACCCACACAGGAACAGGACAGGAAGCACACACGCTCAAGTCAGTAGCTGATCTCATGGCCACATGAGGTCGACGGCTACCCTGGACACCGCCAGATCCTCGAACCACTCCTCATTATTCCTCGTCTCCTGGCACCGTGCGGTGCCGGCGGCCTCCGGACGTTGTTCGTCCTGCTTGTTGGCCGCCGCTGCCGCCGGCGGCCCGGTCACGGCGGGGCGGAGCTCCCGCAGGGTCTGATGGCCGCCCATGTAGCGTTCGGCCGCCAGCACGCTGGCGCTCTCCCCGCCTAGCAGCTCCGACAGCAGCAGCACGATGGACGCCATGAGATTTTGAGATGGTACAGCTAAGCTAGCCCCAGATGGATCACACACACAGTAAAACGGAACAAATCGAGCAAGAGACAGGCAGGCACTAGGAATGGGCGCAAGCGCAACTGCAACTGGTGATTGTGTGTGTTGTCGTGCACGACGGACGATGGTACGGAGGGAGAATGGGATGGGGAGGCGGGAGAATTTAGCGCGTGTTTAGTTCCATGAATTTAGAATTTGGGTTTACTGTAGCACGTTCGTTTTTATTTGGTAATTAGTATTCAAACATGGACCAATTAGTCTCAAAACGTTCGTCTCGTAATTTCCCCTCAAATTGTGCAATTAGTTTTTTTCGTCTATATTTAATGCTCCATACATAGGTCGCAAACATTCGATATGACAGCTACTGTAGCACTTTTTAGGATCTGGGGTGAAACTAAACGACTTATATACGTGTGTGTATGCGTGCCGTTGCGCGCTGCACGCTGCACGAAGTGGGATGGCTTCGCGCATTTCCAGTTTCAGCTGGAGGGACCTCTGGCTGCGGCCGGCCGGCAGCGTACGTAGTCAACCTGGCCCAGCCCCGGCCCCGGCCCCGGCCCCGGCGGCGTACGTGCAGCTGCAGCTGCAGCTGCAGCTGGGGTGGGGTGGGGTGGTCGTCACGTCGGGCCGGTCGGTACGTGGTGCCTAACGTCTGTCTGTTTCTCCCTGGTCCGAACGGAACAGAGGCATTGTTTAGATTGAGGTTAGAAATCAATATTTGGTACTGTAGTACTTTCGTTTGTATTTAACAATTATTGTTCAATCATAGCCTAACTAGACTCAAAAGATTCGTTTCATAATTTACAATCAAACTATGTAATTAGTTATTTTTTATCTACATTTAATATTCCATTCATGTGTCTAAAGATTTGATACGATGGAAAAAGAGTAAAAAAACTTACAATCTAAACAAGGCCAGAGGTCGGGGCAGATTGGTTATTTGGTCGTCGATTTCGTTTTGGAATTTTGCAACCCGGCGTTTTGCAACCCGGCGTTTGTTTGGTGCGTGCCAGCAGTCTTCCTCCTCGGTGCTTACGTCATGAATGATGTTTTGGTAGAGTATTATACGTAGAATTTCTGTCCAAGTGGCGGTAAAGATTTACCGCGATTTCTATTGAAAGAGAAAAAAAAACAAAGAGATGGCCTAATGATTTTTAATCAAAGCTTAGGGGTACATTTTCAACTCTCTTTAGTCTTCGTCATCCTCCTGCAGCGAGAGAAAAAAACAAACAAAAACAGCAGCTCCCTTGGAAAGCCTGTTAAATTAACGGCAATCTAGAAGAATCAGACCACGTCCTTGAACAGCAGCCTGGCCCGGCGGCTTTGATCCGCTGAGTACCGCATGATAAAACCCGTTTGTTCGTTCGTGCGGAAGCAGAAGGAAACCAGCGGATCTCAGCCCACAGCAGCCTGGCCCGGTGGCCGGTTCCTCTTCCTCCTGTGGGCGGGTTTGCGGCTGGCGAATGCTTACATAGAAAACTCTGTTCTGTCCCCTCCCCTGGTTTTATGCCTTTTCCCACCGGTCCGCCGCCGCTGAGCAGGCTGGAAATGGGAAACACGCTAGCTGACTTGCGCAGTTGCGCCCTTTTGCCGCAAGCTTCAACTGCAAGGCTATCTGCAGAAGGCACCGCCGTGGTTCGGATCGAGAACGCGAGCGCATCACGACCAAAATAATACTCGTACCTACTTATTCCTTAGTGCGCGCGTTTGGTGTAGCTGGTGAGCATCGCACGGCGGACAGTGGCAACAGCTAGCATTGCTATCAATCAACTACCGCCATGTTTAGTTGGACCCAAAATCCAAAAAGTTGCTATAGTACCTGTCACATCGAATGTTTACGGCCTATACATGAAGTATTAAATATAGACGAAAATAAAAACTAATTGTACAGTTTGGTGAAAAATTACGAGACAAACGTTTTGAGCCTAATTAGTCCATGTTTGAACACTATTTGCCAAATAAAAACGAACGTACTACAGTAACTCCAAAATCCAAATTCACCCAACTAAACTAGAGCTACGATAAGATTGATTGGAAATGAGGTCTGATTCTGGTGCTCCACCAGTCCACCGTCAGTTTGTAAAACAAGGTATGCACAACAACCATGTTAGGGAAGAATTGACATTACATGGCCCGGCCACAATTCAGCAATCCGTTTTTTTTTTCATACACATATTTACATGTTTGTAATAATGTAATAAATAGAAAGAACCGGAAGCGACGAGAGGAGCATGTGAGTTACGCAAACGAAGAGAGCAAGAAACAATTAGGAGTAGCCCAAATTAAAGTCTGGGTGGGCAAACGACTCTGGCTAATAAATCTCCCACTCTGCCTCAAGGCCACATGATGTCGACCGCGATCCTGGACACCGCGAGGTCCTCGAACGGATCCTCCTTCCTCTTCTTGTCCTCCTCCGCCCGCACCAGCTCTGTCCCGGCGGCGGCCGCGTGCTGGTCTTCCACTGGCCGTCGGCCCTGATTGGCCGGCGCCTCCGTCACGGCCGGCCGGAAATCCCCCAGGCTCCGGTGGCCGCCCATGTAGCGCTCGGCCGCCAGCACGCTCGCGCTCTCCCCGCCCAGCAGCTCCGACAGCAGGAGAACGATGGAAGCCATGAGCGAGTGGAACGGACAGCCCAACAAGATTACAAGAACTGGCGGTGGAAGTGGTGGTGTGCTAGCTTGTACGTGCAGATGGATGGTGTAGTGGAGCAGTGGCAGCAGGTTGGAATTCACGGCGATGGCCGATGGCTGGGAAGGGGAGACGGAGCCGGGAGATTTATGCATGGAACAACACAAACACTGCAGCCTGTGGGCCGTGCGTGGTTTTATTTCAATGGTGGGCGGCGGCGCGCCATGAATACCCGCACAGTGCCTGTTGGATGCTGCAAGGATACGCTTTCACGGCCGCTGGGTTTGAGGGAAAACAAGCGTCCCTGGCACCCGGAATTGAGGAAGCTGGATCGGCGCCACGGGCCCCCACAGCCCGCTCGATTATGTCATTTTGTCGTGACAACTTGGCTCGATCGCACGGTGCCGTGCAGCTGCAGCTGCGTGCGTGCGTCGTACGTACTACCTGCCGTGCGTGCGGCGCATCAATGCGACTGTGACGGATGTTTTGTGTTTATCCCAACGGAGCGTCTAGCGTCCGCAAGTCCGCGCCTGCGGTCATTTTTTTTTTCGCGTGCTCCCAACGTCACCAGCGTCGAGAAAAGAGAGAACAGACGACGGATGCCCAGTCGGCGTCAGAAGGAGAAGACACCGAGGTGAGGAAAGAGATGCAACACCCGATCTACTTTTAAAAATACTGTTGACTGACTGATAAGTCCTGATTGAACTCAACAAGCGAACAGGCTTAGAGCTCGTTCGTTTAGGACAGTAGGACGCCAGAATTTATTTCGGTTGATAGAATCTTATACAATTATAAACTAAAGATCCAGCCGAAATTATTCCTAGACCATTCTCCGTAAGGGCCTGTTCGGTTAACGCTGTTCCGAACGGTTCCTGGCCGGAATAGTTCGGACGCTATTTAAATTATCGAAGAAAACTCGGCCGGAGATGGTTTCCGGGGGTCAATCCCCAGGAAGCGAACGGGGCCTAAAGCGAACGGGGCCTTAATGGTGGGCAGCGGCGCGCGGCGCGCCATGAATGCCCGCACAGTGCCTGTTGGATGCTGCAAGGATACGCTTTCACGGCTGCTGGGTTTGAGGGAAAACAAGCGTCCCTGGCACCCGGAATTGAGGAAGCTGGATCGGCGCCACGGCCCCCACAGCCCGCTCGATTATGTCATTTTGTCGTGACAACGGGCCTGTTTATGTTTAGTTTCACTCTAAAATACCAAATTTTTCAAGATTCTCTGTCACATCAAATATTTGGACGCATGTATGAAGTATTAAATATAAATAAAAAATAAAACTAATTACACAGTTTAGACGAAATCCACGAGACGAATCTTTTAAGTCTAATTAGACTATGATTGGACACTATTTACCAAACAACAATGAAAATACTACGGTCGCATTTCATCAAAAATTTCGACATCCAAACGGTGCCTTGGCTCGATCGCACGGTGCCGTGCAGCTGCAGCTGGGTGCGTGCGTCGTACGTACTACCTGCCGTGCGTGCGGCGCGTCAATGCAACTGTGACGGATGTTTTGTGTTTATCCCAACGGAGCGTCTAGCGTCCGCAAGTCCGCGCCTGCGGTCATTTTTTCTCCGTGCCCCGGACATCACCCACGTCGAGAAGAGAGAAGCCGGAGTAGGAAGAGAAGACACCGAGGCGAGAAGAGATACAATACCCGAATTTTGAAACATTCTAATACAACACTTACAACATATATCTGAAGGCAGATGAAACACTTGAAACATGCATCTGAAACACTTGTAAAAACACCTAAAAACACTTGAAAACCATTAAAAAACATACGCAATGGCCAGATAAACCGAGTTTTTTACTTTTTAGCCCTTTCTTCAAAAGTTTCTCACAAATAGACCCCTGGCGGAAAGAATTCAGAAAATAGACCCTAGTTCGGCGCCAGTGTCCCTGGCGCCGAGCCCCTAGACTCGACACGAACGTGGCAGCAGGCATCTCGGCGTTGGCGACTCTGGCGCCGAGCTCCGTGCAAAAGCTAGGGTCTGTCCGACGAGGTGAGGTGAGGTGAGGCGGTCATGTGATGTGAATGTGACCTCTGTTTACGCCCGGTACACAAAGGTTTTTGGCTCCCTGCCCGATCGTGGAGCCGCCGTTTGACTTGATTTGACTGCCGGTTCAAAAAGGTTTTGGTCCAGGACGGATGGACGACATAATAGGAGCATGACCGTCATCCCAAGGCCTAACCATACTTCTGTCAACGTTTGGTCGCCGCGCAGAAGTAGCTGTATACTCCATCCGTTTCAAATTATAAGTTGTTTTGACTCTTTAGGTACATATATTTTTCTATGTATTTAAACATACTTTATATCTATACATACCAAAAT